CCATGGCAGGAAAGAGTACTGGGGTCAAACGACCCCAGCAAAGTGTTCATCCAGCCTCCTCTTAAAGACCCCCAGGGTAGGAGCCAGCACCACTTCTCTTGGAAGTTGGTTCCAGATCCTAGCCGCCCATCTGGGATACAGATGTTACACATTGTAAGATGTTTATCTGCTGCAGGTATAAACTCATGTATGAAAGATTATCTGCCTCCTGAATCTATTTTAATCCTTTTATACTTCCATTTGCTTACTTATTAGGACAAGCATTCTTCTCTCAGGATAGCTTAAGGAGGTTCCATATTAGTTTAGATAGGCAGGCTGAGGCAGGCTGGCTACACATTTGTTTTTAAGCTCTTCCACTTCAAAATACCTTTCTTGAAGTATCACTGTCAGGATCTCCTTTTTTAATGGAAATGTTTTTGGGGGTTTTTTTGCTTTATTGGGTAGATTAGTCAGTTAACATTCAAGAAGAATCAGAATCTTACCATGACACGGGTCTGGTTATCTCAATAGCAAGAACAATTTTACAAAAATTAATTGGATTTTCAACATATTTGTAAAAACACAGTGTTGTGAAAACTGCATGAACGGAGTAAGACACATCTGGTAAAATAAATTTATTAAAATAAATTCACCCAACTGACTAAAAGTAGTAAAGCTGCAACCATCAGGTTTTTGTTTTACAAGAACAGTCAATCTTTGATGTTTCTGAGACGGGAAGCAGCTCCTTAAATTTGAAGTCTGGTAGCTCTTAGATCAAAACAAGAAAGGAATGCAATTAAGGTACACTGGAATGTACAAGGACTTTGTGGTTAGTTAACTGATAAACCTTAGTGCCAATAACAATTTGGCATTCATGCTTAAAACATCAGTTGTGTGTTGGAGAAGCACCTTGCTTTACTGCATGAACAAACATTCTTGCTCGTGTTCACTTGACAAGCTATTGGTCTAATCAGTGAGAGTATGTACTTTTAATCTGCTGGTTATTCATTACCAGAGGCAGCTGGATATTTTACAAGCCTCCTGCTGTAATCAATCCCTGTTTTGCAGGCAACAGTAATATCTGTGTAAAGCACACATTGGGAAAGCTAGGACTACAAGCCTCTGCCTTCAACTCTGAAAACGCAAGCTTTTTCAAACTAAGGCTCTAAACATGAACTCACTTCTGTGGCTGCTAATAGTTGTAGTCCCCTACAGTTGAGGACTGGTCAAAAGGTCAAATTCACTCAGATACACACCATTACTAGTCTACAGCCAAAGCTTTGCATTCTTTACATGACGGCAACTCTGGCTTCTAGGATAAGCGCATTAGTTGGATGTCACTGCTAAAATAATAAAGCAGAGACTGCATTACAATTCCTGTGCCAGGGGAGAAGTAAGTATGTACAGGGTACCTAATTCTGGTATTTTGAGTGTTTTAAGCAGGGATGGGCAATTGATACATGAGTGGGATGTGTGGCACACAGCACATCGGGAAGGGGACAGGCAGCATAGCAGCAAAACAGGAAATTGGACACAGAGCACAGGGATGGAAGCAGGGAAGGATGCAGAAAGCAGAGCAGCAGATTGGGCAGGGGAAGGAGACTAGAGCAGCATGTGGCAAGCGTGCAGGGCTGCTTTACTACACCTGCCCAAAAAAGCAATCCACACTGCTTAAGAGCTTCACTTTGTAGCCTTAATACTCTTTCAACGTAGTTTTCATGTGAAATAAGCACAAAGGTTGGGAATAAATAAAAGATGCCAATAAACTGCTTACACTACCTGAAAATACTAAAACTTCCAGCCATGCTGGGCAAGGAAAATTAAAAAAACGCTAAGAGATTTTGAACCCCCTGCCCCACACATACCCAAGCCCCAACAATTAACTTATAACGTGTAGACCTTTGGTGTGTTCTGTATACACAGCCACAACTTAGCTAACAGACACAGACAACTTGCAAGGAGACAATCTAGAGTCAATCAATTGAAGAAGCCTCTAATTTATAGGAGATTTCTGCCAGATGGGTTGCTACAGTGCATATGCCACTCAATTCATTAGAACCACAATAGCCTTCTTAGAAAGCAAGTCCAGTTACCTTTGTCAGGTGCTGCTCAGAGGAAAAGCCCAAACCAAATACCGTGTTTGCTCTGCTGTCTGCCCACTGACCAAACTTCTGCGATGTTTTAGTAAAGGTCATATTAGGAGTGATTGTGCTGTTTATAATCACCTGGTTAAAAACAAAAAAGTTAAACAAAATTAGAAACAAAAGATATCCTAGCAGTTTTCTTAACAATGATACACATTTCCAGGCTAAATCTGGAGTTTCTGCATCTATGAAGAATTTTTTCGGCTTATGAAAGCCAGGGCCAAAGGGTGCTCAGGCAGGGTGCTGGTTGAGTGTAGCATTTGGAATTTAGGAGCAAATAGACAGTAGGGATCCAGTCTTCCACCAGTTTGTACCTTGTGTAGCCATTCACAAGTGTTAACTGAGCATAAAGCACCATCATTATGCTAACTTTTAAAGCTCATTCAGCTCAGGCATAAATGACTATAGAAGGAGCTAGACAGTTGTGAAGCAGGCATTAGGGATGGGAAGAATATAATCTGTAGGAATTATTATACGATGCAGCATCAAACAAAAACAATCTTGACTGCCATTTATTTCCTACGTTCCTCAACCAGTTTCCTCCCACAACAGCTCTGAATGCTTCTCTCTTCTGCTTCCCTATTGCTCCTTGCCTCATGTTCTCCTCCTCGGCTTTCTCGGCTCTCTTCTTGTTCCTCTGTTAGAGGATGTGCCCTGTCCAATGGGTTGTTCTCACTCTCTCTCGCCCCATATGTCACTGCATGGGTCCCCTGCACTCAGGCATTAGACTCCTCCAACTGAGGCATCCAGGCATCTTCTAAAGGCAGGTAGAACGCATTTTCTTCGGGTCTTTGCTCTGCTCTCATCCTGACACATCAGGCAGAAGGGAAAGCTGATCTAGAGGTACAGCAGGAGCAAATCCCAGAGAATGTGTAGCATATCAACCACCCTGGACAAACTGCTTACTGTCAGACTCTTCCAAGTGATCTGGGGGAGCTGTAAAGAGCAAGCTCATCACAGAATATGCTACCCTCTTCAGAAGCTCATCAGGTTGATTAGATTTTACTCCATGAGTGGGAACCACTGAAAGCAATGAGCATCTCAAAATCAGGTACTATTCAACAAGAGAAAAGCTAATACAATCAGGCTTCAGTGATAGTTTGTTAAAGAATCTGGAATGCACATAACATACCATCTTACTGAGGGGCATTAGAGACATACCAGTTTGTTAATCAAATATCATAATTATATAGAAATAAAACTTTCTTTTTTGCTGCTGAACACTTCCCCCTCCCCTGAAAGTGAATGTGTGTGCATCCTTTTAGCAGAAAAGCTTCCTTTAACAATGAACACCATTATGTCCAATATGCAAATTATGCAGTAATTAAGTGAAATCTACAGGACAGTTTAATTAACATGATCAGGAAGTATCCTGGCAACATCATTTACTATGTACTCCAAGCAGAATTTTTTTCTAAACTATCATTTACATTTAGGAAAGGGAAAATTGTAGTTTCCAGGAGAAAATATTATTTCTCTTCTTCCCCTCTCTTCTTAACTTATGGCCTTAGGACTAGTGCTCCCATTTCTTCTTTATAAGCCATTCAACTTTAGTCTTTCCTTCTTTTTACAGTGTCCTTGTTCTGACTAAAGGATTTTCATAAGTATGTTTTGCCTTATTTTAATCGCATAAAACTGAGACCAAATTCAATGTAAAAAAGCAGAGCACAGCAATATTGATCCAAGCGGGAACCAACCAAGCATAAGATGTGTTTGAAAATATTCTTCTTTCTGCTTTGGCAAAAGGATCAAGACTGACCAGACCAGGTTGATGCCACCAGTAGAGTTTGTTTTGTTTTAAAGGATCAGGTGAGAGAAAGTGGAAGGCATTGAATAGGAAGCAGTAGCCAAAATACAAGGGGTATAACTAATTTTTCCACAGTATTTTTTTTGAATTACTGACTTACAGGTTGAAATATGTTTTCCCCTCTGCTAGCACTCCAGTCCCACTGGAAGGAAAAAAGCAAACAATTTATAATCACAGAATCATAGGGCTGGAAGGGACCCCGAAGGATCATCGGGTCCAGCCCCCTGCATGAACAGGAAAGACATCTGGGGTCAGCCAATCCCAGTCCAGTCTTCTCTTGAAGACCTCTAAGGGTAGATGACTGCACCACCTCTGGGGGGAGCTTGTTTCATAATGTGGACACCCTAGTTGTTTCAAACTGAACATTAGGAAAAACTTCTTTACTATCTTCCAGGAGTTTGTGGCCATTGTTTCTAGTTTTCCTCCAGGGCTCCCTGGTGAACAGTTGTTCACCAAGCCCCTGATGTACGCCTCTGAAATAGCAGTAAGCCACAACAGCCTTCTTTTCTTTAGGCTGAAGAGTTTGAGATACCTCAGCCTCTCCTCATACAGCTCGCCATGCAAGTCCCTGATCATGTGGATGGCCCTTCTCTGGACCCTCTCAAGCTTTAGCATGTCCTTGTTGAAGTGCAGCTCCCAGAACTGGACGCATTACTCCAGCTGCGGCCACACCAATGTTGAGTAAAGTGGGAGAATCACTTCTTTGGATTTACTGGAGATGCATCGATTGATGCATGCCAGAGTTTTATTGGCCCTAGCGGCTACTGTATCACATTGCCAGCTCATATTCATGCTGGGGTTTATCCCTTTCATTTGTAGTGCTGGTCAGGTTAGCAATGCTCAGCCAGTAGGTGTGCTGAGAACTTGGCCAATGGGCTTTTCACCCCCTCATCCAGGTCATTGATGAAGATACTGAACAGCACTGGGCCAAGTACTGACCCCTGGGGTACACCACTCCTCACATCTCTCCAGGACGAGTCTGATCCATGCATTTGGACTGTGGCCTACCCTGCAACCAGTTTTGCACCCACTTGACGGTCCTGCAGTTGAGCCCAATGTCTACCAATTTTCTGATCAGTACCTCACGGGATACCAGGTCAAAGGCTTTCTGGAAGTCGAGGTATATGATGTCAACCGCTTTTCTCTCATCCAGGTAACAAGTCACCTGATCATAGAAAGAAATGAGGTTGGTCAGACAAGACCTGCCCGCAATGAAGCCACGTTGGCTGTCATTCAGTATCATGCCTTCTGCAAGTTTGTCACATATAGCCTTTTTGATGAATGTTTCTAGGATTTTCCCTGGAATAGAAGTTAAGCTAATTGGCCTGTAGTTTCCCAGGTCTTCACACTTCCCCTTCTTGAAGATGGGCACAACACTGGCCATCTTCTAGTCCTCTGGGATTTCTCCAGAGGCCCATGATTTTTGAAAGACCTTTGCGATTACTTCGGCCAACTCTTGCAGCACTCTTGGGTGGAGTTCATCCGGTCCTGCTGGTTTATATATGTCTCATTTCTTTAATTGATCATACAACAGTTCTATGGCAGTGATGGCAACGGTGTCAATCTCGCCCTGCTTGTTCTGTGTACTACCTGGCATGTTGTTCCCCTTGGTCTTGTGAAAGACTGAGGCAAAGTAGTCATGTTCCGTTTTTTCCTGAGTGGTAGTGACCAGGTATCCGGAGGCATTGAGCGGCAGCCCTACACTCCCATTAGTTTTCCTTTTACTCCTTATGTAGCTAAAGGAGGACTTTTGTTGTCCTTGATTCTTGTAGCTAGTTTTAGCTCGGTTTCTGCCTTAGCTTGCCTAATCTGTTTTCTACAAATGCAGGCCATTGTCAAGTCGTCTTCCTCAGAGGCTGTCCCAAGCTTCCATTGTTTGTATGGCTCCTCCTTTTTCTGTAGGAGGGCTGCAGCTTCCCTGTTTAGCCAAGAGGGTTTTTTTGACCCTTCTGCTACTTTTTCTCCATAAGGGAATGGATTTTCTCTGAGCCTTAAGGATTGTACCCTTAAGGAATGACCATTCTTCTTGTGCACCCTTTACCTGTGGTCCTTGGTCTCTCAGGGCATTCTCTACTAGTGACCTGAGCTTATTAAAATTTGTGTTTTTGAAGTCTTAGACTTCAAGCTTGGTGTCTGTTTTGTCAGCCTTGCGATGGACAGTGAACATAATGATTTCATGGTCACTATAGCCTAAGCTGCCATCTATATTTGAGTTGGTCACCAGGTCATCCCCTTTGGCCAGGACCAGGTCAAGAACTGCATTGCCTCTAGTTGGCCTGTGCAACTCCTGAGTCAAAAATAGCTCTTCAGTGCTGGTCAGGAAGGGTCATGATCAATCTGAGCTGGCCAAGCACTCCTGCCAGAAGATGTCTAGGTAGTTGAAGTCACCCATGACAACCATGTCCTGTGCACGCATGGCCTCTGTTAGTTTACGGGCAAGTGGTAGATCGAGTTCCTCCCCTTGGTTAGGCGGCCTGTAGTATACACCTGCAGTCAGGTCTCTCTTGCTGCACCTCCCCTGGAGCTTGACCCAGAGGGTTTCAAGCTAGTCTTCTTTGGGGCCAACATCGGCCTGTAGAGAGGTGTACTGCTTCTTTACATAGAGGGCAACAACCCCAGCTCTCTTCCCTACCCGATCCCTTCTGTGGCTACACTCCAGTCATGAGAGGAGTCCTACCAGGTCTCTATGATTTCTACTAAATCATAGTGCCCAGTGGAAAGCAGGAGGACTGGTTCTTCCTGCTTGTTCCCCATACTTCTGGCATTGGTATACAGGCACCCAAGTCCTTCTACTGAGGTCACTGGCCGCCTGTTGCATTGAAGAGGAGCTATTTTCTCAGTTCCCATAAAAGTGGCTTGCTTAGTTTCATTGCCGATGGAGCTTTCCTGTATATTGGTCCCCGAGTAGGCTCCAGTTAGCATTTCCCCATCCCCCTGCAACCTTAGTTTAAAGCCCTACCTAAGAGATCGGCCATCCTGGCCGAGAAAAGGGACTTTCTAAGGAAAATCTCCTATTAGAAAGCAATTAGAAAAAAAGCTAAATGTAATTTAAGATATCAAAGCTACTTCATCTAAATATGTCAAAAGACAAATAAGATAAAATGCTAAGGACTATCTTAGTGATTGGTATAAATGACAAAAGAAAGATGCCATCATGATGACATGAGGCTGAGTAAGAGAAAGAATTGTCACCACCAGTTGAAAGCCATGGTAACGAGACTGTTTCCCAATTGCTTAAAAAGGTAAGTGTTGTATTTTAAAATAAAGGTAATCA